TCATAACTATGCAGACGACACTCAGATCTATGTCTCACTGACTGCAGGAGAACATGGACCAGTGGACTCACTCCTTCACTGTCTCCAACAGATCAGTGAGTGGATGTAAAACAACTTCCTTCAGCTAAACGCAGACAAAACTGAAATGATTGTCTTTGGTCCCCAGAAACAAAGAGAGAGCGTCATCTGTCACCTACAGTCTCTCTCCCTAAAACCTTCAAACAAGGTCAGAAATCTAGGGGTAATACTGGACTCAGACTTAAATTTTAATAGCCACATCAAATCAGTAACATCAGCAGCTTTTTACCATCTAAAAAACATTGCCAGGATCAAAAACATAGTGTCTAAAGCAGACCTGGAGATTCTTATCCATGCATTTGTCTCCAGTAGGTTAGACTACTGCAATGGCCTGCTCACAGGTCTGTCCAAACAGGCTGTAAAACAGCTGCAGTACATTCAAAATGCAGCAGCTCGAGTCCTGACTAGAACCAGGAAGTACGACCACATTAGTCCAGTCCTCAGGTCTCTGCACTGGCTTCCTGTGGCTCAGAGAATAGACTTTAAAACAGCTCTGCTTGTGTACAAGTCTCTCCATAGCCTCGCACCAAAATATATTAGTGACATGTTAGTCCCATATGAACCAGCCCGGACTCTGAGGAGCACAGGGACTGGACTCCTGTTAGTGCCCAGAGTCAGAACTAAACACGGGGAGGCTGCTTTTCAAATTCATGCTGCTAAAATCTGGAACAGTCTTCCTGAAGATGTGAGACAGGCCTCCTCTCTGACAATGTTTAAAACCAGGTTAAAGACAGATCTGTTTAGCTGTGCATACAACTGAGGGATTTTATATTTTTATCTTTCTTTTTAATGTTCTGTGATAATTTATGATTTTAATGCTTTCTTGTTTTGTTCAGCACTTTGAATTGCCTTGTGTATGAATTGTGCTATATAAATAAACTTGCCTTGCCTTGCCTTGCCTAGAATGACCACAAGTGAATAAACAACAAACTAATGACGTTGATATATCCCAACTCTGGACTGGCCCCTGATTCTCTGTCCCTTTTTTAATGGGCCAGTTAAAAAAAAAATCCTTCTCTTAATTGTCCCTCTTGGTGGAGGTCAAGTGCTTTTCTAGTAAGAAAATATTTAATCTTTAACAAATTTATGAATGAACCATATCTTAATTTGGCTGAGTGAGGCTGGTTCTCTTTTTCATTTTTCCGTCTGACAAAGCTGGTGTTTAGATGTGACAGATATAATATACATATGAAATGATTGAAGCAACTGTTGTGGAGCCAGGAACCTAACTATTGTAGTAAAACCCACATCACTATTTTTACTTATTTTACTACAACCGTTTTGTTGTTTTGTGGTTTGAAAGTTAGGTACCCCAACTGTCACATTGTCGTCATTTGGATTTTTTACAATGACCAGAGATGTAAAATCACATTCTATATTTATGTATCATCACATCTATTATATTCTCTGGGCACGTTTTTGACTCATGCGGTGTAAAGTTCTGTGCGAGTGGGAGTGACCAGGTCTTTGTCCGATTCAAACAGAGTAAAGATATCATCTCTCAGACACAGGAGATACAGGAGAGGCTGAGGGGGGACTCCCAGCCTCCAGGCCACATGTGACACACACTCACAGAACAATAGACCAACATACAAGGCCTTTTGTATTGTTGCCTGATGCTGCTGCTGCTGCTGCACCTCAGAGGGGCGCGTGGCTGGCTGTGCGTGCCTTTCTTTAGAACCCTACACTTATAGAACTCTGACGCCATCTGAAATCATGACTTCCTGTCCAAATATCACATTTGGACAGGAAGTGCCGCGATTGGTTCAGGAAAGAGCAGTGGAATGAGCTGAGGAAGGGGAGGCAGCGAGGGAGACCTAGCGCATGCCGGAAACCATGTTTGTCACACTAAAGTTCTCATTTAAGCCTTTAACCTCATTGTTTGTCGTGCTTCCAAGATACTGCTATCATTGTTGGAGCTGAATATCCACAAAAAACAGACGCACTTCATGAGACCCACAGACGCCTCACAGCATAATTCATCCACTCCTCACACAATGGATAAAGGTGTTCTCCTGAAGCACAGGGCTGCCTGCGCTGCTTAAATGAGGACTTATATCTGACTAACATTTTCTTGTTTTCTCTAAGCTGTTTAATGCAGACAGGGGTCTCTCCCGGTCTCCCCCAATGCTTCCCCTCCATTGGCTCGATGCCGTCACGTGGTAAAACCAAAGAAGGACCCAATGTCCAAAATGCGGAATTGCCAAAAATACGAGATTTATTGCACGCACAAAAACCGAAATACAAAACAAAAATATCTGGGATATAACAGAACTCCAAGCTCAAACCCGATGGAATGGACAAAAATGAAATGGACAAACAACGAGAGGAGAAGGAACCAGGGTTTAAATACACCTGAACAGACGTGAAGGAACACTTAAAATATCCATCCATCCATCCATTTTCTTCCCCTTAATCAATTTCTGGGTCGGGGGGGGGGTGGCAGTCACCCAATTCACAGAGCACCAGAGCCCCTCTGTCAGCCCTTTCCTTAAGGTTATGTGAAGGTGCACTTTCTGTATCCCGTAGGGTAATTTGTCCTCTGCATTTGACCCATCCTGATGCCACTGGGACCTCGGTCAGGAGTGCCCAGGGACCCATCTCCAGATGTTGATACTCGGCTTGTTTAATTTCATATATTCTATATGTGTGACCCCCAAGAGGAGGGAGAGGCTCTCCGTCAGCCCCCAGCGTTAAAGCCCACCCCCCGCCTCCCAGCCCAATGCTGTTGCAGTGAAGTATGACACAGGCTTAACCCTGGGGTTGCTGACTCCTGCCTAATGACAGATTAAATGTGGATTAGCACACAATGCATTTTCACTCGCTCTGCTTAAACACAACAGGACCTAATTTGACTTAAAAACAGAAGGATTTTAGCTCTCCTTAAAGCCTGTTAATAATCTTCTGTTACCACTCATTATTATTGAATGTTAATTTGCATTTATTCATTCTTACTCTTGTAATTTAACCTCACTGATTTGAAGGTAAGTTGTTATTAGTAAGTAGTCTTCAGTCTTTTTAAATCTTTTATTTTAAAAAGGTCTCAAGATAATTAGTAGTAGTTATAGTAGTAGTAGTAGTAAGCATGGGTTTAGGCCATTCAAAGTGCTTAGATGACTTTTAGCGGGCCGCTGGCTCTCTTCCGCTCACAGAACGAGGCTGCGTCCTCTAGCGTCTACAGCGCTGCTAAAAACAGTAGCATGTTAGCAGAATTGTAGCCTGGTCTTACCACACCATAGTACAAATGACATTTCGTACTAAGGCCTGTAGGTGCTCCATTGAGCTCCGTTTACATGTGGGAGGGGTTAACTTCTTTTGCAGATTGAAACGATTGGATCTGAGTTTACCGTGACGTATGTAGTGCGCCCGAGTCTGTCGTTAGCATTTAGCAATTAGCCTAGCCATCTCCTTAAGATAAGATAACAAAGCCCGTGGGGAGTAACGCTACAGTTTTTTCCAGCGATTACATTTGACAAACATTACCCTTGCTCAGGCTTAAATTTCTTGATAGAACCAGACTGGATTACTTTACTATCGCATTTTTCGCCATTACCAAACTACAACCTGCCTGTTCGACGCAAACTCTTGACATCACCCACAACTAACTACAACACCTGCCTTCCGCGCTCTCTCAATGGTCGGTCGAAATTCAACCGATTGTAATCGCTAACATAGGGACTAGACCCAGACGATACATGCAGTGAAATGATGATTGAACGGAGTGTACGGATGGCTAAGGCCAGGCTAGCAGAATTGGCTATAACTCCTCTTGCTGTAACTGCATACACAGCAAAACAGCCCAAATTACACAACAGTGAGGAAGAGAAGAGGGAAATAAAGCAAAAAAATTATCAAAGAAGAAATCAAGCCCAGGTGAACATAGCTAGCTTACATTGTATCCTCTGGAGAGACTTAACGCTATAGTCTATGGGAGAGACCTGCAGGACTGCCTCGGACTATCTATGCTCAGACTACATTCAGACGCGGAACTAGCGGTAATCTTTCAGTTATATATTTTGTTAGCAGTGAGTTGTTTTTGTATAATTTCATCAGAGATTGTTGTACAGCTTAAGTTTCGCTAATGCTAATGTTTGCATATGAATCAGATCGCAAATAAAACTAGGTGGCTCCGTGGGATGAGAGCGTAGGGGAAATGAGAAGCCTCTGAGCGAGTTGGGGGGCGGTGCTAAACATTCAAACCTTGCATAAACGGGTATAGCTCCTAAGGATCTCTCTCTTAATCTCTTACATCTCTTACACTGTTGTTTTGTGCTTTACAATTGTTCTTGCTTGTTTCTATATATGTACATTTTAATGCGGTACAGTGTTCATGGTTTTACACAGATCCAGACCAGAGTAGAGATGATGCATGGTCAAAACCAAGCAGATGAAGTGTAAATTTACGGGAGAAATGCAATTTTTCTTTTTGAAAAACGTTAATTAAGCATTCTGAATTTCAAGAGAAGAGAAGAGAAAATAGTCCGAGCCAAACAGACTCTGCATACATCAGCCAGAGGATAGGAAGCAGCTCATTACCAGCGGAGCCTATACTGCCACCTCTGCTGCTGTTGCGCTTTATCACTATTGTTGGTAACTTTTAGAACATGTATTTATTTATGGATGTATGTTTTTCTGCTGATGGATACATTAATTTCTCCGACAGGGATCAATAAAGTATCTAGATCAGATTCAGATTCAGATTCAGATTCAGAGCTCTGGTGTCAGACAGACACCAGAGCTCTTGCCACGGCGCCATATTTACGGCGCTATCTATTATGTTTATGTACGGTATATGGAACGCGATATGGTGGCTGGCATTGTATACAGCAGATGTGGGAGTATGTAGGTAATCTTTATTTATATAGCGAGTCACAGACCTCTATTCAATTGTTGGGGGAATTCTTAGGTAAATGTGACAGTTGTTAGAGAGGACTGGAGAGGGTCTGAAGGTAAAGGAGGCAGTAGTGAGAGGAGAGGGTCTGAAGGTAAAGGAGAGTGAGACAGTAGTGAGAGGAGAGGGTCTGAAGGTACAGGAGACAGTAGTGAGAGGAGAGGTTCTGAAGGTACAGGAGACAGTAGTGAGAGCAGTTGGAGTTCGTGGAGAACCACAAACTAGGGACAAAGGTTTATTACTTTAAAAACTTTACTACTTTAAATGAACTATAATTTATTCAATCAAGTATTCATTATAGACACAAACAACAGCTGTATTTGTTGCATTTCTCATATTTATTATCCGACCTATTTTCAGTATACTATTTTTACCAACTGAGTGCATCTTATTATTAAAAATGAAAGTGGATGATTTGTGGGGCACAATGGAGGGAATTGTACTGTCATGCATCTCTCAGAATCACGAGGCCCATATTATGAGCACTGGACTATTAGTAATACACACAAGTTATGACAATATTTTCTATGGTGCCTTTGTGTGATTTACAAGAGATGAAGTAACCAAATACCACAAATACCGAGTGCAAAATTATGTTATTATATCGGTTTTACATAGCAAATTATGGACACTCAAGGACGCATAACGTATTATTTATCATTCATTAATTAAACTATACTGTAGCCATAGCTGCCCTGGGGCAAACTGACAGAAGTGAGGCAACCAGTCTGTGCCATCTCCCCTCTTATCACCACCAACCATACACTCGCACACCAGGCTCTTTAGGCAATGTGGGAGAAGTGTCTTGTCTAAGGACTTGTGCTGCACACTTGTTAATAACGCCGTTAACGCAAACCCATTAACGAGGTGTGAGTGTTTCAATCTGGAGAGACTAGAACAGACACAAAAAGCAAACAAAAGACTTATTCGTCGTGTTTGCTTTTTTGTAAATCTCTGAGTGTTGTTTCCATTTCGTGAGTTGTTGATGTGTGTTTTCTGAGGAATTTGTGTGAGTCTGTGATGGATATGGGTTTGTTGTCGATGCATAGTGAGAAGTCCATAATTAGTCAAGTTGATTTCACTGTATTATGGATTTAGCATCAAGTGTTTAGACATGTGACCTGGTCCGGGTAGTGATGTTTATTACTGTCTGAGATGAGTCCAATTACTGTTTTGACATTTGCATATTTGATGATGGAAACAGAGTCATGAGTGGAAGTTAGAGATTGAGTGTAGAGTGCGAACAGCCAGGGAGAGAGAACACACCCCTGTGGGACTCCGGTGCTGAGGGTCAAAGGCTGGGATGAGAGACCATTCATCCTAACTCACTGTGTTCTCTCTGACAGGAAGATTCTGATCCAGTGCCAGAGAGCAGGGTCAATGTTCATGTCCTTAATTTTATTGAAAAGATTTACTGTACCCGGTCTATGGTGTTGAATGCAGAGCTGAAGTCCAGAAAGAGTACACAGGCGTAGGTTTGAGGGTTTTCAAGATGCTGTAAAATTGCATTGATTGATTGATTGATTGATTGCATCTTCAACTGACCTGTCAACTGTTAGCTCTGTATGCAAACTGTGAGCAGTCCATTATGAGGGTGGTGATGTCCTTAAGATGAGAGAGTATAATCCGTTCACATTATTTCAAGACGACGATGTGAGAACTATTGGTTCGATAATCATCGAGACATGACACTTTGTTGGTTCTTGGAACAGAGTATTACTCTAGATACTTGGCATTGACTGAGGGACTTGTGATTAATTGCGATTAATCATGAGTTAACTATGACATTAATCAATCAATCAATCATTCAAGTTTATTTATAAAGCACAAATCATGCAGTGCAATCCAAAGTGCTTTAAACAGACATACAATCATACACATTTTCAAACATTTTAAAACATAAAAAAAATGTATAATAATCTAATTGAACTAACACTGACATGTTCCCGGAATCAGTGTTCAGTCAAATATCCGTCACCTTTGCTAGTGCAGTTTCAGTGCAAGTGTCTCTCCCACAAATGGCAGATTTGAAATCAGTCGATAATTTTGCAGTGCTGTGGCATCAAGACTGATTTTCATTAGAAGAGGCCTGATCACTGCGACTTTCTGAGCCTTTGGGAAAGTTCCTGGTTGAAGGGATAAATTAATTATTTCAGTGAGGAAGGAGAGAAAACGGCCTACCACTACCTTAAAAAACCTAGAGGGCAAAACATCAAGGCTACAAGTTGACATGCTCATGCTGAAAACTATATTCTGGACTGTATTGTTGACCGTAAGAAAATAAGGATTTCTGTTTGTGGGGCAGGAGCGATTGTGTTTTTATACTCTTTTTTTATTGAAAACATATGCAAACCCCTTTGCACTTAATAGCTGTATTAAACCCTAGTAGCAACTGAGAGGGTGGATTTGTTCATCTATTTAATGTTGCGAACAGGACACAAGTAAAAATTCTGCAACATTTCTGCCTATAGTTGCAGAATAATGCCTTTCCCTTGTTCTACATAACATGTCATTGTAGCACTTTATTTTAGTTATATAGATCTCATGGCGTTCATGGAGCTTGGACTTACGCCACTTGCGCTCTTTTTTGTTCCCTGACAGCTATTTCATTCCTCCATGGTGCTTTTGGTTTGCAGTTAGTCGTCATAGGAACAATAGTATTGAACACTTCTTCTTTAACATATCTTTATTACGAGGAATAGCCTCTTGAGATGCATCATCTCGTTTTCAGGAGGGTCCTCAAAAATAGCAACACAAGTAGCAGCAGCGGTTGTCAAATAAATGCAGTTACAGTAAAGTGTAACAAATAAAAACATAACAAATTACAGTAAATAAATTCAATAAAATAACAGACAAAAAAACTAAAAACAAACAATACAAGGACAGAAACATTCGCTCACACACACACACAGAGCTCTCAGAGGTCACCCTACTCCTCAAACTAGGACAGTGAAAACCAAAGGATATAATATTTAAGAGAAAGGTCAGTAGCAGTTACAAACATTACACAGATGCCTTTGTACAGCAACTTTAAAAAGAGAAAAAGAAGTTAAAGAGCGAATAGAGGCCGGAAGGAGATTCCAGTCGTTTGGGGCTTTATATTGGAAAGCATATTTGCCAAGTTCTTTCTTCACACGAGGAGTGTGAAAGAAAAGCTGGTTTGTGTGACGAAGATTATAAGAGGAATTAAAAGGGGTTAAATATTGCTTTAAATAAAGAGGGTAATCCAAAAAATAACATTTATAAATGAAAAACAACCAGTGAGAGTGACGTCTTTGGGATAGAGAGAGCCAGGACAGCTGCTGGTACATGTCACAGTGATGGGTCCTGTAGGGGCAGCGCAGAATGAACCTGCACAGGCTGTTGTAGGCAGTGTTCAGAGGATGGAGAGAAGTGGAGGTGGTATTTTGATAAACTATGTCTGCATAGTCTAATATGGGAAGTAGTAGTTGTGAAATAATCCTTTTCCGTGCAGATAAATTAAAACAGTCAATGGATTGATAAAGTGTTTTCAGTGAATAGTTAAAGCTGCACTAACTGACTTTGGGATTTTGAAGCCGCGGACACGCTGGCCTCTCTCTTTCTGCTCCCCTCCCCGCACCCACGAAGCTATCGCCCCCCACACACACCCACTGTTGGGACGAAGCTAGCGTCTCCCAATATGGATAATACATGGACATGGATTTGCACGTGGATGGCGTGACCATAGAGCGATAGAACCGGGAAGCGCGCAGGAACGGGACTTTCTTTTGGATGGCTGTCTCGCTGTGTAAGTAGTAACCGGTGACGAAGACGAGGAAGTTTCACGTTAGCTCCGCCGCTTGTTGTGCTAACTTAGCCGTCTATGCTAACGGACCTGTAGATTTCTCACGAAAGTGGGGGCTAGTGGTGCGCTGTGATTGGTCACAATCTGCGACCCGAAACACATTCTCTTCCTTGTTTCATCAAAACTCGATCTAAAATATAATGTCACGCCAGCACAAATCTGCGCTACTTTTTCTTCAAAAGGACGTATATCCCAATGCACTACATCAGGCATGTCAAAGTCAAATACATCAGAGTGCCAAAAAAAAATGTTTGCTACGCGCCGAGGGCCGGACTGGTTCAATGTTTCTCAACATCCAGAGGCAGTGCCGGTGACACCTGTTGGCTCGATAAAATATGCTCCAAAGCCAATCCTCATACTGTACATATTAGATGTAATAGACATCTGAGAACATGAAAATAGTACAAAAAAAAAAAAAAAAGCTCAAACTTGGTGAAATGTAAAAGAGCAGTCTGGACCTCTTTTCGGGGCATTTTTTGATTAAATCTGCAGAATGGATTATACTTTGGGAAATACAAGTGGATATTCTTCTTCAATAGACAGTTACGGAGAGAAAGCGACTAAGCAAGGATGGGGAAAGTCTAATTTGTTGGAGCAGCAGAAGACGAAAGGTAAAAAACAAATACAGACGTGATTTATTTTGTGCCCATATTATGCATTATATCTTTTTAATGTAAAGTCTGATATCGTTTACACTTACATATAAATATAGCTGAGAAAATAGCTTTAAAATGATATATAGCTTGTGGCTTATGAAGTTCAAAATACATCTGCTATTGCCAGCAGATGGATTTTTTTCCTCGTTTGCTCCCGCCGGCGGGGGCTAGCGAGCTTAAGGGGTCAATGCATTGCCTCAATGGCAGGCAATATCCCGGGGGCCATAGATAATTCCTTCGCGGGCCGGATTTGGCCCGCGGGCCTTGACTTTGACACATGTGCACTACATGGACATGGATAGCATTTTCATAATGAATACAAAAATAAAGTCAGTTAGTGCAGCTTTAATTTTGTGTACAGTTTTGTGAATATGGGTATTGAAAGAAAGATTCGAGTCTAGCCAAAGACCAAGATACTTAAGGTTGTCCACACATTTGACTGGGGACAGATCTAGAAAGTGGAGATTTAAATCGGGGAGAGGTTTATTGGTCTTCTTGAAAAGCATGGAGTAGGATTTGGTTTTATTGAGCAGAAGTTTGTTAGAAAGGAGCCAGTGTTGAACAATGTCAAAGTTGTGTTGTAGAGAGTTGCAGATGTCAGGGATATTAGAATTGGAACAGTAAATAACAGTGTCATCGGCATAAAGTTCAATAGTGCAGTTGGAACAGATAGTCGGGAGATCATTAATAAAGATAGAGAAGAGAAGAGGACCAAGTGAGGAGCCTTGTGGAATGCCTTTTTCAATGACTGTGAAGTTGGACTGGCTGCCCCCAAAGGAAACACACTGGCGACGAGAGTGCAGGTAGGAGTTGAACCAGAGAAGTGCTGGTCTGGAGAGGCCAATGCTGTGGAGTTTGTCCAAAAGTAAATAATGGTCAACCAAGTCAAAAGCTTTCGTCAAATCAAGAAATAATGCACCAGTGAACATACTTTTGTCAAAACTAGAGAACACATCATTTGTAAATTTCAGGAGGGCAGTAGTTGTACTGAAATGCTTTCTAAATCCTGATTGAGATTGGGATAATAGGTTGTTATTGGTGAGATAGGTTGAAAGTTGAATAAAAACTCCATCCATCCATTTTCTTCCGCTTCATCCGTTGCCGGGTCGCGGGGGCAGCAGTCTAAGCAGAGACGCCCAGACTTCCCTATCCACACACACTTCCTCCAGCTCGTCCGGGGGGACCCCAAGGCGTTCCCAGGCCAGCTGAGAGACATAGTCCCTCCAGCGTGTCCTGGGTCTTCCCCGGGGCCTCCTCCCGGTGGGACATGCCCGGAACACCTCCCCAGGGAGGCGTCCAGGAGGCATCCGGAACAGATGCCCGAGCCACCTCAACTGGTTCCTCTCGACGTGGAGTAGCAGCGGTTCTACTCCGAGCTCCTCCCGTGTGACTGAGCTCCTCACCCTATCTCTAAGGGAGCGCCCAGCCACTCTGCGGAGGAAGTTCATTTCGACCGCTTGTATCCGCGATCTTGTTCTTTCGGTCATTACCCAAAGCTCATGACCATAGGTGAGGGAGGGAACGAAGATTGACCGGTAAATTGAGAGCTTTGCCTTTCGGCTCAGCTCCCTCTTTACCACAACGGTCCGATACAGCGACCGCATCACTGCGCACGCTGCACCGATCCGCCTGTCAATCTCACGCTCCATCCTTCCCTCACTCGTGAACAAGACCCCGAGATACTTGAACTCCTCCACTTGAGGAAGGACCTCTCCACCCACCCGGAGAGGGCAAGGCACCTTTTTCCGGTCGAGCACCATGGCCTCAGATTTGGAGGTGCTGATTCTCATCCCAGCCGCTTCACACTCGGCTGCAAACCGTCCCAGTGCATGTTGCAGGTCCTGGTTCGTTGGAGCCAACAGGACAACATCGTCTGCAAACAGCAGAGATGAAATCCTGTGGTCCCCGAACCGGACCCCCTCCGACCCTTGGCTGCGCCTTGAAATTCTGTCCATGAATACAGTGAACAGAACCGGAAATTATTATTATTATTATTATTTATTTTTTTAGTTTTTTTTTTTTTTATTCAGAACCGGAACCGGTTCTGAATAAAAACTAATTTCTCAAATATTTTGACAATACTGTTGATAATGGAAATGGGTCTGTAGCTATTGATGCTGTCAGTGGAACCTGATTTATGTAAGGGTATTACTTTTGCACATTTCCATGGTTGAGGGACATTACAGCTGGAAAGAGATAAATTAAAAAGTGAGGCTAGTGGAGAAGCCAGGACATGTGCACCTATTTTAAGAAATTTGCTCTCAATACCATCAGGTCCAGTACTGCTGTTGAAAGAAAGTTCACTTAGAACCTTAAGTACATCAACAGGACTAACCTCGGTGAAAGAGAATGAACTGTTGCACGGCTGGCGATCCGGAACAACTTGATGAAAGGGGGGATGGACCTGTGGCGTTTGTGAAAAGTGCAAGCTGAAGGCATTGGCTATAGTGGAAGGGTCATTGGAGACCTCATTGTTAATGATCATATTGTTTGTGGTCGTACTGGATTTCCCAAGCACACTATTCATTTGTTTCCAGAACTGTTTTGGATTTTTAAAATTGTTGGTCAAACTGTTTCTATAGTAGTTAGCCCTGTAGTAACACAGTAGTAACATAGTAGTTAACACAGATAAAATTGTTCTTCTCCAAACAATCGCGGGACCTTCTGGACAAAGACAGGTCACAGAAAACACAGAAGTGATTGGACAGACATATGTCAACAACTCGCACATTTGAAAGATTAACCCCTTTTGTGATTAAAAGGTCTAAGATATGTCCTTTGCTGTGAGTGGGATCATGCGTATGCTGAATTAGACCAAAGGTTTCTTTGAGCTCTTTGGTATCATTATTACCAACAACATCCATATGGAGATTAAAATCACCCGTAATGACAATGGCATCAAAATCTACACTCACAACATCTCAGTAAAATCCTCCATAACTTTTGGGCAGTGCTGGGGGGTCTATATACAACAAGAAGAGTATGGGACGAGTAAGGAAACATACTCAAAGGAAAAAAAGGCCCCAAGTGAAAATTAGTCGTAAATTGTGTTTAAAAAGAGCGGACATGCCTCAACCTTTCCAATTTTGTCGTGCCTCAAATTCAAATTTCTAATTAGGTGGGGCTGATTCTGTTAAAATAGTATAGTGGTCTTTTTTTCAAGCCATACTTCTGTTAAAAACATAAAATCAAGCTTATATGAAAGATTAAAATCGTTAATTAAAAATGACTCATTACAAGGAGACATTAATAACAGCAAGTTTCAGTTTTTTACATCAGTAGCACTAGAAAGGATCAACAAGGTTGTGCCAAACAGGGCGGTACACTACATGACGTCTCTAAAATAGGCCAAAATTAATACATTGAAATATATATTATATTATATTATTTATATATAAATATTTTGATAATTTCCCAGCAACTACTGGACGCAGCTGCAGTTTGGCACTTTACAGCCGCATCTGCCCCACTGTTGCACCTGGTCTCCCATCACCGTGCTAACCAGGCCCTGCCCTGCTTAGTTTTAGTGCCCTGACATTATATTTGGCAATTAAAATAATAAGGATACTATTTACTAGTCGTTTCATGTTTTAGAATGATAAATAATACATTCAGTACAAATGGTGAAAGTATCAAGGGTAAATAATGGAATCGGCAGTATCCCTATGCTACCAGAGGGAGGGGAAACGTTTGTTTTTTTTACAAATATGAAAATTACAGACGCAACCACTTGAGAATTAGGCAAAACTGTTGTGATAACCTGTCCTCACGTGTTTCATCTGTCTCGTGTATTCAAACCCTGTGTGTCTACCATGTCTCTTTTAGTTCTTTCTTGTCCTCCCCTGTTTGGTTACTTTTTGTATATTAACTCTGGATTTTAACTTTTTTTTAACTTCATTTTGGGTTATTACCTTTTGCCACGAGACAGAATGATGGACCCACACAGGATCCATGCAGACTGCTTTTTTTTGTCTTCTGCTCTTTTGATTGGGCTACTTCAGAGTCGGTTCCTAGCTCGACTCTCAGCTCGACTCTCAGCTCGACTCTCAGCTCCAGCTCCGGCTCCAGCTCCCTTCCTCCCTCCCTGGTTTTGTGTTTTTGGACGTCTGGGATCCGTCCCTTGAGGAGGTGATACTGTCATGGTTTAAGTCTATTTCCTGTTTTATTTTGTACCCCCGTATCTTCCTAACTTCCTATTGTTTGATTACCTGCCGTGCCCTGATGCAGTCCCCCCGCTGTGGAAACAGAGGGAACAATGTTGTAACTTGATTAAAAGCTAGAAAAACCCCCAAAACAAAACAGTCCATTGTGCATAATCTGTCACAAAACACTAATATGCGACTTAAACACGCCTTTTATATTACAACTGCATTTTTTTTGAGTAGAACATGTACAAATGATGGAAAATTATAGTTTTGACACCCTTCCACTTTCACTTCATTATTACTACACAATCCCATTCAAAAATATACAAGAACTGGTGAATTATTGTTATAACAAGCAGTGGATTCTTCAAAATCTCCTCAAGTATCACGCAACAAATCTGCTCCAGACTTTTTTCATGGGTCAAGTTCACCTCTTTTAGAAAACAGTCCCAATTCAACTAATGTTCCTTTTGTTTTCAATTCATACTGCTCCTCCAGCTCCTTCTGCTCCTCCATCTCCTTCTGCTCCTCCATCTCCTTCTGCTCCTCCATCTCCTTCTGCTCCTCCATCTCCTTCTGCTCCTCCATCTCCTTCTGCTCCTCCATCTCCTTCTGCTCCTCCAGCTCCTTCTGCTCCTCCATCTCCTTCTGCTCCTCCCGCTCCTTCTGCTCCTCCATCTCCTTCTGCTCCTCCCACTCCTTCTGCTCCTCCAGCTCCTTCTGCTCCTCCATCTCCATCTGCTCCTCCATCTCCTTCTGCTCCTCACCTCCTTCTGCTCCTCCATCTCCTTCTGCCCCTCACCTCCTTCTGCCCCTCCACCTCCTTCTGCCCCTCTACCTCCTTCTGCCCCTCCACCTCCTTCTGCCCCTCTACCTCCTTCTGCCCCTCTAACTCCTTTTTCATCTTTACTCATTTAGCTCTACAGTTTAAAGAGCCCATTTTCAGGTGATCAGAGACTACTACTACTGCATTTACTACTACTACTACTACTACTACTACTATTGCTACTACAACGACTACTAGTACTATTTAGCCATCGTACTTGGCAAGAATATAACCACTGCTTTTTATAATGCTGCTCCCACAAAGCTTCTCAGTGTCCAACAATACGGCATATTACAGTATACTGCGAATACTGAAATACAACCGTTTTACTAACTTTGCTACTATTGTACAGAAAAACTACCGCTGAATTAATTAAACAAAAACCTTGCTTATACTACTATACCCAGAAAGCTACAAAGTACAACTACAAATGTGTAACTACTATCATCATTAAGGTCCTATACTCTTGGAATCTGCAAATTGAGGAAAAACACCGAATGTGAAAAGTGCATCCTGTACTTCCATCGCAGATCCAACTCTTGCATTGCTACAAAACCATGTAGTTGTGCAGCCCTGGCGGCGGCTGCTGGGCTCACACAGACGGGAGTTCACCGGGTGCAGAGTGTGTCTATAAAGGCCAGCCGCTGCACAAGTATTCACAGTGCTCCACCGTTGTAACCGGAGCACTGGGAGGAGCCAGAGACCGAGTCAGAACCAGAGTCAGAGCTAGAGCTTTAACTGGTGAAAATGTGAGTGGGAATATCCAACGTGGCTCCTGCTGTGTGTGTGTGTCTATGAGAGAGGGAAAGTGGGGACAAACTACAAAATAAACGCCAAAGTGTAGCTGCGTTTTTGTCTATTTCTCACCACACATAGATCTATAACTTTTCAAGCATATAGAAGAAAATCTAGGCCCCGGAGACTGAAAGTTGAAATAACCACAAATAGTACTTTTTAGGATCATTTCACCCAAAATGTAAAAAAATAAATACATCTATTCAACTGTCTTAAAGTTTGGGTATCAATCTTTCAAGCTAAAAATAAAGGAAATGAAATCCTGTTTCCTGTCTCCTGTTTTCAAGTTTTCACCTGAATCTGGTGTATCTGGTTTCCGGATGTTGTGTCTTGGCTGACACGTCCCTGCTACACCGTGTGGCGATCGGGACAGTACTTTTGGAGGGGCATATTGATGCCGCCACAACTCAGCAATTGATAAAGTGCTTTGCCAAAAAAACAGACTCCCGTCGACAAATTTCAATACGGAATAGAGCTTTATTGCCATGGCAACCAGAGAACCAGCCAAACAGTTCTCAGCCCAAACAGTCAAATAGTGACTCTTTAAGCTGAGAACCACTTCTCTTATATTAGTTTACCAAATTTCTCCAAAAAAAGAAATTGGAGTAAATACTTAAGTTTTAAAAGGGAGAAAATAGCTCTGTCCATAACATCATAGACTGAGGATTTGTCATAGTGTAACAAATTAGAGATTGAAGACGCTGCGACAGTAACAGTGGAGTTGGGTATCAAATTGGCCTTTTGTTTACATGGAGACGGTGAGAAACAGCCTCCAGAGTGGAACAGAACAGGTACGCTGTGCGGCGGGGGGCTGTTTCTGAAAAAGGTGGGATTTCTTCATAGGCCCTGTTTATACTGAGACGCTGCGCAGACGTTTCCAGGCTATTAACAGAAACGACCTGGCTCCTAATGCAAATTTCTCTGCGTTCACATGAGGTTGAAAAACGATGCAGTTCTAGTGCCCGGCCAGTAGTGGGCAGAGAAACTTTATAACACTCACACGACCCCCAGCCCGGTGCCCAGCCCCCCTCTCGGCAGTATACTCACTTCCTGTGCAAGACCCTCAGAAAGTACCAACATCATTCTGTATTTTAACAGCAGCTGTGAAAATGGAAACTGAACCTAGAGCTTCGCGTGGTCTCGTTTGGACGAACGAAGGAGTAGAATTATCCTCTGTGCCGCGCTGGAAGCCCACGTAGCTAGTTAGTGCGCGCGGCGCCATTGTTGTTTTTGTTTGTTCTCTGCTACTGCGCATGTCCAAATTTACGTGCGGGGAGCAGCGCGGAGGTGGGGGTCAGAGCAGAGGGGGATTTCACACCTTTCCCCTCTCACGGGTGTGAAAGAGAGCCCCCGCTGTGCAGCGTATCTGAGTTGTCCCACTCTGCAGGCTGGATCTGAACACTTACGTTTTCACCCCCCTGGAACACAGTCTCCGTATGAACGGTTGGTAGCAACCGACATCCAACTATACCGTTTTACTGCCACATTGTCTCCGTGTAAACTCAGCTTCAGATACGCTGCACAGCGGGGAGCTCTTACACACCCGCGAGAGGGGTGCTCTGACCCCCACCTCCGCGCTGCTCCCCGCACGTAAATTTGGACATGCGCACTAGCGGAGAACAAACATCAACAACAATGGCGTTTTCACCCCCCTGGAACACAGTCTTCGTATGAACGGTTGGTAGCAACCGACATCCAACTATACAGTTTTACTGCCACATTGTCTCCGTGTAAACTCAGCCATAGTTTGAATCTGGACTGGGGTCATCATTTGTGAATTGCTTGACTGCGTCTCTGTGTTAACAAGGATGTGCCAGAAGGTCCTCAAATATGATAAGATAAACTGTCCCCAGTGGAAACTTGCTGTGGGAGACAGTTCTACACATATGGACGGACTTTTTTCTTTTATGAGCAATGTAACAAAAGATCATTCGATAAAATATGTCTGCCCTTTCACTTGACCCAATGTGATTTTGAGCGCTTACTTTTTATTCTAGCTATTACTAAAGACAAACTGCTGTGTGATATAACAATCTATTGTGTGACAAACAGTATGTATCCTCAGTATAGCAGCATAATTCTCTGATGAGCCACAGAGACAGATGCCCCGTTAACTGCACTTTATTCAAACACAATGTAAAAACTGGAACTAGGCCACTTTCCAACCGGAACATTAGAGGAAAGCACTCCACCAATAATCCACCAATTCTTGAGTTATTGTCTTCCTTTGAGCTTACAAAGAATATGATTGACTGTAGAATGTATTTTTCCCCCAGAAGTAATTAATTAATCACATCATGGACACATTAGCAGATCACAAAGACTGAAATTATTTAAGTTCTTTGCAAAAAAAAAAGGGGGACTAAAAATAATGGGTACAAATTCTGTCTGCAAAAGGATTATTCCTCATTATTTATATAAACTGTCAAAATATGTTGCACAACTCAGTACTGAGGGTAAGAATTTAGTGAGAAAGGAGAAAAACCAACTTCACATGTTTGAAGTGAATGTTTTATTTCTATTATAAAATGGTTGTTCTTCACTGTTCAATATTTTGCCATGTGTACAGTTGGTATGAAAGTGATTTACAGTATTGATAGATTACAACATTTGTGCATCGTTTGTAGTTTGTATGTTGCAGAATATATGTTCTTGTTTTATTCCTATCCTTGGCAAAAGAATCCTACATAAACAGAACTTCAGTGTTGAGTGTTTTTAAGTTGTCTATTTTTTTATAATTGGATGAATGCACTTGATTTTCATAAAGATTGAGTTTTCCTTTTCACTGAAGAAGGGAATTGATCTGTTTGTATTTTTGAGTTGTATTTTTAGAGTTGTATTTACATAATTTTGATAGTGAAATGTTTTAAATGTAATGTAGACATTTATAAATTAAGATGCCGCTATTAAAGGTGCAGTAAGCAATGTTGTTAGCTAAGCCGTAGCACCAACTCCAAACCACTCCCCCCCTCTGCTCGCCTCTCCACCAAACCAAACATCCAGCATTTTCTTTTTTTTTGTCACAACAGGGTGGCAAACGTGAAATTAGCATTTTCTGTTCAGCCATTTAAGATTTTTTTTAAATATGACAACTCAGGTGCTCGCACTCGCGAGAAACAGGAAGAGGGTGAAAGGAGGATAAACGCATCCCATTGGTTTATTTTTATTCGTCCGCTCCTAAATATGTTTTATCAATTTTTGGAGACTATAGGCATCTTGTCAATTCCATTACTATTTGAAAACACATGATAACTTGACTACTTTTAGGGTTTAGGGACGTTTTCCCACAATATAGAAAAAAATGTGTCTGGAAAAAAAATCACTGACTGCATCTTTAATGCGGGATCTGAATAAAAAGAAACAAACAAAAGGCATTAAGTCATAAGGCTGTGTTAAAAAAAACACAAGCGGGTAAAAAAAAGATAAAACCATACCTGGAGACATTCTACAATATAAAGAAACAACATAGTGCTGGTGCTATGTGTACTGGGTGGCATCTCGGGCCACCCCCCCGACCGAGAAATGGATTAAGGGGAAGAAAATGGATGGATGGATGGAAACAACAGTGATTAATATATTGATTAATTACTAATGGATGGAACATTATATCATGAGGGTCAATGTTTACTGTCTATGCATTTTATTTGCAATTAGACAGCTATTCTCTTTGTAATAGGATATAGTTTGAAACATTTTATGACTAATTATTGCTTAATTCTTACGTTTACAGTGGATTTTAATGATGAAGTAGGAGTAAATCTCTCTTTTTCATTTTTCTGTCCAAAAAGGCTTATCTAAATGTGACAGAGGCTAAATCTACATGCTCGAGAAACTAGAGCCGGGAACTAGTGGCATGGATTTTATGTCTGGGTAAAGCATGTGAACCCCTATCCCAAGACAAGAAAGGAGTATCTTATCTTATCTTAGGATGGTAGTGACTTGAAAGTTTAACACCCCAGGGGCACAATATACTTACAAGACTAGTAAGCAGGTCAGGACCTTGTAAGAATGGAAGACCTCTGAGAACACTAAACTCTAAACTTTCCAAACTGCTGTCGTGTCTTTAGGCATGACACTTCACCCACATTGCCTCGATTGAGTCTGGTGTCTGCGAGGATTATGGTGACCGAAAGGGGCCGATGTCACACACTGGTTGCCTCGCTTCTCTAAGAATTTCCCAGGGCAGCTGTGGCTACAGTTGTAGTTAATCACCACTGTCTATGTGTAAAAGGATAGAGCCATGTGACGCATCTTTGAGTGTCCACAAAAACTCACTATAAAACTGATTGATTTTTATTATATTGATTTGGATTTTAATCAGGTGTCATTCCACCAGAATAAGTCAAAATTATAAAATAAAACAAACGTGTCATATGCCCTCTAAGTTCACATTTGTTACATATTTTTGAATAGACGTGTCATTTACTATTTCCCTTTTTATTTCACATAATTGTGCCTTCTATACTGAGAGAAGCCCAAAGCAGCAGGTCAGCGTAACTGTACCACCTCTACACATTCCTCCGCAGTGTTGCCAACTTAGCGACTTTGTCGCTAGATTTAGCGACTTTTCAGACCCCTATAGCGACTTTTTTTCAAAAAAGCGACTAGCGACAAATCTAGCGACTTTTTCTGGTGTTATTGGCGACTTATCTGGTGTTTTGGCGACTTATCTGGTGTTATTGGCGACTTATCTGGTGTTTTGGAGACTCGTGAAGCACGTATTGTTCTGCAGTTACTGTCCTCAACGTGAGCCCCTCCCCCGTCCCAAAGCACTTACAGGCGGCCAGTCTCACAGTAGCCTTGCGCGCAGTCCCAGCTACAGTCTATGGGCGGAGCAGAGAGAGAGAGAGGAGACTCAAAAGCACAGGAAGTTTTCAGGCTGCTGCAGACTGAACTTCAGCTCCACCACCACCACACATCCAAAGCTCCCCGGCCACTCCTACCACCGCCACCCCCCACTCCCCCCCACTCCATCCGCGGCAGCTCTGTCCGTGACTCTGTTTTCTCTCAGTAGTGGGTCACATTAAATCATTTGTTATGCCAAACTATGAAAAAAAAAAAAAACTTACAAAAATAGACCTAAGTAACTATGCCAGAGTGTGTCTTTTGGGTCACTTTGCCGGTCCCAAGCCCGGATAAAGGAGGAGGGTTGGTTGTAGAGCTAGCAATTTCACCCTACATAACAATCTTTTGATTACATTTGCTGTTATAACATTTAACAATACAGGACAAAACTGATGTGTGTAATGTGGATCTAGACAAAGCATTAAAATCATTAAATGTTGTTAATGTTGAAATTATTTTTGTACATTTGTAGTTCTAAACATATTTAGGGTGTTTTTACTCACTTTTGTCTCTCCCACGACCTTATTCCTCTCTCCTACAGCGTCCGTTACAGTTATTTGCAAATGGCAAATTATGCAAATTAGGCGATGACGTCATTTAGCGACTTCTAGCGACTTTTGGGACAGCCAATAGCTACTTTCCTTACTGAGGAGTTGGCAACACTGTTCCTCCGTAATGACCTACAAACCTCTCACTGACTTAGGACTTACTGCTGCACTGTTGTACCCCTTTGAAACCCTCGCATTGGTGCGTGTACAGCCAATCGGGGAACCGTGAGACGTGCTTCTAAATGTCCGGAGAAAGCGAGCGATAGACGGGCAGAACTGCAGACAGACACCCGGCTTTTTCTCAGCATCCACGTGTGTCTGTCTCGTGTCCCGAAGTTTACCGCCACCATTTTCCTGGAATCCCCCCCTCCGCACTGTATCACTCCGCGGGGAAGACGAGCTAGTTCCACTCCTCCATGCCGAAAATCGCACTATATCCTACAAAGTCAATTTCCCGCTTGAGTCAGTTTCTCTAATCCAACCACGAAACGAATAATGACCATATGTTTGGCTGTCGGGGGGAATTCTGAACGTATGGTTAAGTTTTGGCGCGGTTTTGCCGACGCGGAGGGATCTTTTTGCAGCCCCCCTATATAAAGAATGGAGCGGAGTGGGCCACACCTCTTAACGGGCTCGTAGGAGGGGAGTGGACACGAAGAAGGGGAAAGACGCCGGTATTATCCACGCACACCATGCTGCCACGTTTAAACCTGTATCCAACACGCAAGAAATCTCATCCGAAGTCTGTTTTCTAGTCATTTGTGGACATACACGTTCCCACGCGTTTTTAAACATTTAAACCAGTCTTTTCCACGGTAAGCTTTATTTAATGTATTTTTTTCATAATCCATTCCACTCAAGTTTTAACACATGCATGATTGTCCTATATGTGTCATTAAAGCCACGATCCCATCTGTTGTTACGGTTACATTTAATTAAATATATCCTAAAGAAGTGTGCACGCGGGTTTCACGTGGGTTACGAAAGCCCACGCCGTTTTTTAAATGACCCTCACGCAGACAGCACCACGCCGCTACCTTTGAGTGATTGCAAGGACTTTGGACACATTGCACCACTCTTTTATCGCGGTTTGCAGCTAAATAAATGCATATATGTTACTGTCAACGCTATTTTTGCACGTTTTTCAAGTCCATCGCGTGGGTTGATTTTCACTTTTTTTAATTTACTCATTGTCATCTCAAGCCGTGCGTAAAACTGCGCGTATTTGAGTCAAAATTGGTGTTTAGTGTGTGGATATCAGTTTTTCTGTGCGTTTTTGGGCAGATGAAGGGCGGCTTGAGACCAGTCTGCTGCCCCACCACACTGCTGCTTTGTTCTCACATGCCTTTGCACTCTGCATGGGCGTCCCAATGCGCACCCTTGTGTCCTCACCCAACCGGCATTGTGCGTAAATCTTGCCCATATGTGTATTTTTTTTTCTCTCCACGCCACTGTTTTAACCCTTGTCTTTATCTGTATCTGATCTTCTACGGTTTATCCTGGCACTAACTTGTGAAAGTAGCGTCGTGTGGTGAGGGCTGTGAACCATGTGTTGGAAGGAAAAAAAATTTTTTTTTAAAGACCGGAAAAAGGCGAAGGAAGTTGCTCCACTGCAGCCCTCCTATGGCGTAGTCTCGAGTTTCTTTAGGGCTGATCACGTTTGCCTGGTCCAATATTTGCTCCTAACACTCGGGATTTTGAAGAAGTGGTTATATAAGCAAGAGTAGTTCAAGTCTTTACTAGCATGGTATATTATGCAATGGTTTACCGTGGATGTGTACAATGTATTGAGCAACTGATTTCGCTTTTTTTCTCTTTTGGATGGAAAAACTTTTTAGCAATTGGTGTTGTTTACCATATGGTCAGGCAGAGGGTGATTTGTATACAAATGCAAAGAGATGAGTATTTTGAATGGCCATTTGTCTTAAGGTTTTTCTCCTCTTTTGAACAGCATGGTTTTTAAAACTGATTCATTGTGTGACAATTGTTATTACAGTAAGAAAACTTACTTGGCACTTCCAGTCCAAAGCTCATAATAAAATTACAGTGGGCTTGATTGCATCACAATTGCATGAAAATAAAACATTGCACATTTGCTATAAGATTTCTGAAACAGTCTCTGCTTCCCACTTCATTACTCCCAGGGAGTTCAAAAGCCCAGATTTATTGCCTCCTTGGCGCTCACTGCTGTCTTCTGCGAATTCTTAGTTGGGAGTATTTAAAGTTCGGGAGCACCATTTCACTTTCCCAGAAGCCGGTGTAGAATTTCTTTTTGGGCCCAGCTGTTCCGATGTCGTCATGGCAATTTCTTTCCCCCTGCTCTTGACTCTCTCATGTGGGGTGGGCTGAAGACATCCTCTGGAGAGTGGGCGGTGCTTCTCGTAAATGAGCCGCACAGTGGGCGGGGATGAGTAATGTAAACACGGCTAAAAGCGGGATGGCAGACCACGCTTGCCTCAGTCTTGAGGTAACTTTCACTACAATCGCCATCACCGCTGCCGTTATTCCTTAAGACTGGATAATTTTGCACCGAACAACAATAAACCTTCAAAGATCAGGACACGCTCTCCTCTTGGTCGGATTTACATTTGCAACTACCTCACACTGGGATTAGTTTCTCTGGCTTTTATTACCTCATTCTAACAGGTAATTGAGAGTCCTTTCTGCTGAGGGTGGACCCTGCTTATCAATTGTGTATTTTAAATTTTACAAAAATCCATTTGTGCAATCTAATTTCTCATATTTTTAACCACAAATTTGGTTGAAATTTGGCGTTTTGGAATATTTAATTTTGCCATAGTTTCAACCTTGTTTGGTGTACTTGATTTTTATTATTTATATATATATATATATATATATATATATTATTCCTTTTTTCCTTTATGATTTGAGTTTTGCCATTCTTTTGGTTAAACTTCGTTATTGTTGATGCATTCCTGTTGACTTGGAGAAAGCCCTTGTGTTTAGACCCTATGACTGTATGGCTTTTCAACCTAGTATTTGCATGAAAGCAGCTCTGAGAGCAGCATGGGGGGGGGGGCACCCTCTGCTCTAGTTTTAAGCACGTGGGATTTTTGTGAATGAAGTTTGAGCAGCGTAGTAGATATTTTCAGTTTGTGAGCAAAAAAGGCAATGCTTTTTGAGCAACATGATATTTAGAAGTTATGCAGTATTTTTTTTACTTTTGTACAGAATAGGGGCACATTAACTGTGCATGCACCAATTTGGTCCTTCCATTGTACTGTATAACTTTCAGTTTTTGATAGTTGTACACAATTGAAATGATTTTTGTAATAAGTTAGAGGGCAAAAAATTCTACTTGTCCTTTTTTTCAATCTGTATTTGTACATTTTGAAAGAACAGTATGGGGAACAATATTGGACTTAGCTGAGTCATTCAATACTAAAATATAAAAATCTTAAGTCATCATGCATACTATCGTTCTCATTTGTTGGTACCAATCACCAATGCAAAGTTTGGCCGTTTAAATCTTCATTGTTCTGTGTAGTTTTCTTTTGGAAATCCGTTCAATTTTATTGCACAACATTTTTTTTTCCAGATAACTTCACAATGTTGACTGACCTGAGTTTTTTTCCTTGATCTCTTGAAACATCTTTTGAATATTCACCTGTAGATTTCATCTAACCACACTCCTCTCCTCTCCTCAGACCACTGCTGCCACCATGTTGCAGAGCTTCGGCCAGTCCCAGGACTGGCTTTGTTCAGAGCCACTGTTTGACGATGAATTCTACCAGAATTTGGTGAAAAACCTGGAATCTCTCCCCACTCCGCCTCAGTCTCCTCCAATGAAGCCCTCTGAAACGTCTGACACAAAGCCCCTGTCCAAGGAGGACCAGCTGAGCTATGTCTCGAACATCCTGCTGGAAGATTGTGACATGAATGCACTAAGCTGGGACTGCGATTTGTTTGAGGAGAAGGATGCCAGTCCCACCAGCAGCCATTTGGAGGACAGCCCTGAATATTTCCTGTTGACTGAGCTGGGAAAAGGTTTCGATGACAAGTTGGTTTCCTCAATGTTGAGCTCCAGCCCTCTGCTGTCGGACATTGACACGAGTATCTTTGAAGAAATTGCTGGCTCCACTCTGAACTGCCAGGCCTTGCTAGAGAACACACCAGAGGGAAGCGAAGTGACATCGGATTATGGGTCCACAGGAGGAGAGCTGTCTAACTACTCGTCCTCAGACTCTGGTAGGTTCAAGACTTTTATGGTGCATTGTAAAGATAAATGTTTCACTGAAGTTGGCATTAGAAAAGCTTGAACAACCAAATGATTTGCATTCTAAACTGTAAAATGTTACCTGCCATTAATTGGGTCGCCCTTAACTTTGATAGTGTTACTAATGTGACACAAAAGCAGCCCTGCAAGTTTCTATGCGTTTGCAAAGTCTTAACTCATAATTCCATGTTCTGCTTCGTCATGCCTTCAGAGTATTCATATTCATCCAGTCAGTGTTTGTTAAACCCCTGTGGATTCTGGAGGGCCATGATTCAGGCTCAAGGCGTTCTATTAAAGGCTGAGGCCACACTAATGGTTTGGTAGTGGCACATTTATGAGAAACTCTATCCCTCCGCGTGCCTTGGCTTAATGTGACTCATCAGGAGCAAAGGAGTGAGTCAGACTTTGAGCTCTGTTACTCAGGCGGGAGCTGGCTTCACCTGCTGCTGTCACGTAAAGCCACTCATGGCTTGACGCCCCACCCACAAAATCTTGTTTATGGGATTGATACAAAGGAAACTTCAAGACTGGCCCAAATTGTTTTGTGAAATAAAAGTCAAAAGGTGTTGTGGGGATGTATGAGGATACAGAATGACTGAACTTTTTCTTATCTAACAGAGGAAGAAATCGACGTGGTGACTGTGGGCCGCCGCCCCTCTAGCCCCTCCCCTCTGCCCTCATCGGCCAACATCAGACAGAGGGAACACGACGAGGCGGAGCAGCAGCGACTTGCCCTCCAACGCCACAACGCAGAGATCCATCAGCAGCACAACTACGCTGCACCGTGCCCCGCCTCGCCCCCTCCCTCACATAGTCACAAACGCTCACGAGACGGCTCTGCGCGCCATCACCACTCACACAGGAACTCCTACGGATCATCCAACACGTCGTCCCATGTCTCCATCTCTACGCGGTTTAGCTCAAGAAACTCTGTGGAAACTGAGGACGAGGAGGAGCGGCGGCGAACACACAACGTCATGGAGCGACAGCGGCGAAACGAACTAAAGAACTGCTTTGTGCACCTTCGCGACAACGTGCCCGAGCTCACGCGCAACGATAAGGCCTCCAAAGTGGTGATTCTGAAAAAGGCGCGGGACTGCATTTTCAGCCTGGAGAGCGACTCGCGCAGGCTGCAAAAGAAAAGGGACCAACTGAGAGTGCGTCAAGAGGAGCTAAAAGCTCGGCTTACACGGCTACGAAGCTAATGATGCTATTGAGACTGTACAGAGACTGGGGAACAGACTTGTCATGATGGCCCGATCAGATAATAACGTTTGTTACACGTTAACAAAGCAGCGATGCATGGATTAGAGCAAAACCTTATTATGTTTTATATACTGTACGTTCATGTTGACTTCTTCACTGTCCTATAAATTGCATTGTTGCAATTTCTAGGACTTTGCAACGGTTAAGATCTGTTTGTTTAAAGCTGCAAGGCAGCTTTACAAAGTTATTTTTATACTATTATGCAAATAAATGTAATGAAATGCGAAATTTGACGTCTAATCTCTGATCATTCACTTTCACCTGAGAAAGTTGGTATGGGGTTTTTGACATGCTGCGATACGAATGTAAAGGGCATGATGATGTAAGCTGGGATCAGTGCAAAACTTTTCAAAATGCTAATTGCGCGTTGTAAAAAAAATGTGATGGTACAAAATTTCCAAAATTGTACTTTCTGTTTCCTACTAAAATAAAGTTGGTTGCGTGTTAAAACCTTTTTTTTTTTTTTTTTTTATTTTAAGCAATTTTGACCAATTTACCTCACAGCTTTGCATCTTGGTTTGCAGACTTATAAGTCTTTATTTCTAATGTTGGGCTGAAGTTCAAGAGATGATGTAACTATGTGTGTGCAAAACACGGACATTTCAAGAAGTGATTATTTGAACGATTCTCATGCCTTGACTGCTGACTGTTGGCTTGATGTGTGACAATGTTCACAAGGACTGAAACGCAGGGAACGCAATTTGTTTAGTACAAAAGTCTATGGTGCCACACTTGGGATTTTAAGTATACAATGGTTGAATTGTTGTTTTTTTTTTTTTTTTTTTATGAATTAAACTAGTTTAAATAAATTGTTAGTAGTTCACACCTGCTAACTTTCCACTGACGTTTTGAGTCTGTCCTGGCTTATTTTATTGAAATCTACATGACTTGTTGGCTTTAGCGAAAATATACAAACTAAAGTTACAAGTTATTCAAGTAAACGTGCTAATCAGGCTAGCTTGTAGTTTGAAATGTACTTTGCAACATGGCCTTTCCATTCGTCTGGTTTATCTGACATTGGAAAAGTTTTAACAAATGTGTAAAGTCATGCTGTATAATCCCAAATGTTGCACCTGAAGCTGTTGCGTAGCTGCGGCGTAAACTTGAATGCTAGTGTATCTATAGCCATACTCGACAGTCATCCCTCCAGAAACGTCAGGTTTTCGCCACTTTTTCACTTCAGGTAATGCTAACAATGCTAACCACTGTTGTAGCGACCGGTAAACTGTTAACCAGGCTCGACTTGAGTTCTATAGCCATATAAGCGTCACTTTTCAGGATCGCTAACTGAAGCTAGCTCATTCATGTCCAATGCCCGTCTTGTGCAGGTCTGTTCAATTAAATACAATCAATATTTTCTAGTTTTTAAAATCTTAACCACTTTCAGAAACTTAAGTCAAACAATATCTTTTTATTCTTTTAGTTTTTTACAAAAAGTGTCTTATACCTAGGGGTTCTTTTGGTACAAACAGATTTTGCATTGACAATTTTCGTGTCATGCTGTACAGAAAAACATTTTTGGTTTTTCTCATTTAGTGGCTGTCATTTCTCCCACAAACATACATGAAAGTTGGCACTATTTTCAGGCCAAATGTCAAAACTCTGTTTTTGTGTGAATAAGACAAAAAATGTAATGTACAAAAACTAAATTGGAGAATTCCGCGCATTCCTGGTAAAACGTGTAAGAATAATTAGTTTCAAAAAACCGTTACTTTAGGCTGGAACTGAAGTTTTGTATTCTTTAGATTTTTTGACAATGGGGGTTGGAGGAAGTGAACGCTGTTATGTTGAAATGCACAACATGTTTAATTGTTCTGTGTCTTAAATTGTAAACTTTTGTTGTTGACTCTGGGTGATTCTCATTTGCTACATTTCGGTTTTCAGTTTCAATGTCATCTCCTTTAAACTTTTGATATTGAAGCTGATTCTTGAACCTGTTCATCCAAACAGTTTTGTTTCTTATTCTCTGCTTCAAAACCTCAGATTTTAAACCATATATTTTATAATAGCATCATTTTTGAAAGTTTCTATGATAAAGTTGTTAGTGGCATGTTAAACCTACCTCCATCAGCTGCAGTCTAGCCCAATGTGTTTTTGTTAAAGATTATTTTTGGATGTAAATATATATTTTGGTTAATGTAAATTATTATTTTAGTCAATTTTAAGTTTTCTCCTTGTTTTTCTCGCCCTTGTACTTCTTTGAGTTTGTCATTTTGCTGAGACACTTTCTGCATATAATAAAATTGAATGCAAGCTGCAAAAGAATCTTTGTCTTTGTTAAATTATTTGTGAAATAAGTAGGATGTAATAGAAGTAGTGTCAAACAATTCATTCAGTTATACTGGGTACTTGGTTAAAAACTGATGACATACCCATATATTTGAAATTGATATAGTCAAAATGTATGTGTTCATTCAATATAACATCTCGTTTTTCTTCCCCAAACATTGGATATCTCAAATCCATTGAATTCTTGAAAATGTCTTCTCAAAATCCAAACTAACTGGTTTTCTCCTCACGATAACAACTACTAATACTACAATGCTACTCCTGAGAAATGGAGAAGCATTGTAAGGTCATGAAAGGAGCATTGCAGGTAGTAGAATTAGTAGTAGTAGTTGTTGTAGTAGTAGTAGCAGTGGTATCAGTAGTATCAGTAGTAGTTGTAGAAGTATCTGTAGTAGCAGTAGTAGTATCAGTAGCAGTTGTAACGCCGTGGGAGTTACACACCTGGATGATACCAGTGTCAGCTTTCCACCTGGGTCTTTACTCATGACCTATGACCTCCCACTCTTCTGCTACTGCTAGTACTACTACTACTACTAGTCCGACTGCAACAGCAAAAGACAAAATAAACGGGTATCAAAATATGACCTGAAATGCAAAATTTGAAAAAGACTCAAATGAAGCAGTTGCATTTTTGGATCCAACACCTCTTTCTCAGACATGACATGAGGACATGAGGATGCAGTGCCCGAGTGGTGTGCGGCCCATATGTGTCCCAGGATTTATCACAGCATATGTTGTTTGGATGATGAAGATGGCAAAGGATTGAGAGAGCAAACAAACAGTGACAAACCAAACACAGTGTACAAAGTTTACTTTTGAATGGGCTGGAAAACAGCAGCAAGTCGTAAGTAGCGCTGAAACAATTGTTGTTTTGTGCTTTACATTGTTCATTTTTCCTGCTTTTTTCTACCTGAGAAGTTGGTGCAGTACAGCGTGCATGGTTTTGCACTGGTCCAGACTAGAGCGGAGAGGATTCATGGTCCGAACCAAGAGGATCAGGCGAAAATCCACTAGAGAAATGCTAACTTTAAAAAAAAAAATGCTGTTGAAGCTTTCAGCATTTTACTTAGGACTAGAGCAGCGAAAATGGTCCGAACCAAGCGGTTACTCCATCTCTGCTGCTGTGACCCGTCTTGCTCCACCCAGGGGCTACTCCACCTCTGCTGCTGTGACCCGTCTTGCTCCACCCAGGGGCTACTCCACCTCTGCTGCTGTGTGCTTTTTTGAATGATCAATTTATCAATTTATATATTTTTTGCTACTGGACACCTGAATTTCCCCTACAGGGATCAATAAAGTATCTTTCTATGCTATGGATACTTTTGTCAATCGTCGGAACCGGAATGGGCTTGCACAAGGGGGAAGGGTGGGGGTTCGGGCGGGGCTGGGCGAGATGGAAAAGAGAAAATATAAGAAGAGAATATTTAGACTTGCACATCATAAGTACAGGTTATTATATAGTGCTTTTCATGACATTCAAAGACACTTTGTGGCATTGTTCCTACACTCCATACATGGTGGTGATAAACTGCTACGGCTGCCTTGGGGCAGACTGACAGAAGCTCGGCAACCAGTATGTGACATTGCTGCTCTGACTATCACAAATCTTTGCGATCATCACAAATCATCATCAGGCTCATACTGTACCACCTAATAAACATGTGTGATTGTTTTTTATTTTGTTCAGCACTTTGAGTTGCCTTGTGTATGAATGGTGCTATACAAATATACTTGCCTTGCCACTGTCCAACATCTGAGGATTGATAGGTTCAAGCTTTCACATGCAGGATAATAATACTGAGAATAACAATTAACTTGTCTCGTTTCATAAATGATTAATGCGTCTGTGTTTGTGTTCATGTATGTTTGTGTGTGTGTGTGTGTGTGTGCGTGAGTGTATTTGTGCATTTGTGTGTGTGTGCATACAACTGAGGTATTTTATCTTTACTCTTCTTAATGCACTGTGATTATGATTTTAACGCCTTGTGTGATTGTTATTTTATTCAGCACTTTGAGTTGCCTTGTGAATGAATTGTGCTATACAAAAAAACTTGTCTTGATGTGTGTGCGCGCTGGGGTGTATGCGTGTGTGTGTGTGTTGCGTAACCTGGTGCCTCTTAACAATAGTTACACATACATAGACCAAACTATGAACACATGGGTCAGTTTAACCCAGCTGGTGACAGAAATGACAAAAAAAAGGTTGTGAATCTTATTGATAGACAGAAGTACTGTATTTTGAGAACCAGGAACTAGTTGGGATTTGTTGTGGGCATTTGTCGCTTACTCCACACAGCGATGGGAGCAGGGTCGCCATAAAGGAGGCGCATGGCAGGGGAAACAGGAGCACCCGGAGGTAACCTACACAGACACGGGAGAACATGCAAACTCCAGACAGAAAAGCCCAGAGGTGGACTCAGGTGAAACCAGGACCTTTTTGCCATGAGTAGAAGTACTGCGCTAACGTTCGCCATAGAAAAAGGCAACAGTGTGAAAAGTTAACGTGTTGTTTGGGCTTGTGTCAAAACACCACTATATTTGGCTTGACACTGAAGTCGCAAGGCGGGTTTAATGCCGAGTGGTTCCTACACACCAGCCTGTGTTGCTCAGTGAGAGGAAGGGGCGACCCAGGCTTTTTGCTCAGTGGGAA